AAAAGGGGAATTTCCTCCCTGCTTTTGGAAAGTCTGACTGCATCTTGGATTGTCCAATTCCTGCTGAATGTGTGTAAAATTTAGTGCAGCTATCTTTGAGGATAGATCTTCTGTTTAGAGCCTGTTATAGCATTGCCCTTGATCTGCTGCTCCCTTTTTACTGTTGCAGTGACCCCACAGGTCTTTGAAAGCAGGGAATTTAGAAGATCTAGGTGATGTTAGCTGATGGCTATAATCCTTCTTTAATAAGAAGGATTTACTTGTTGAAACTGTTCTACAACTTCAGGATATAAATTTATGACAAAGTACAAGCTTTGTACAGTTTCCAGAACCGAGCAGCTCTTATCCAGAAAAAAGGTCAAACGTTCCCTTCTGATATTTGCATCATATTTCTTGAGCATTTTGAAGAGTGGGCTTGTTACATGATTTCCTAGAGGGATTCTGCTTTTGGCTTCTTCTGGAGGTTTCTCTCATCTGTTCTCCTCTGCTTTTGTATCAGCTGTTGAGAAATTTTTCTATACTTGCCAATTGCTCTTGTTAGGTGAGCTCCTGATTAATCTCGTGACAGCAAAACTATTCACTGGTGACCTGTTGGTGCCTAACCCCCTCTGAAATAGAGAGTTAGAGAAACATCTTGCTTTGAGTATTAACCAGGGAAGCACTATTTCCGTGCAACTTTGCTGCCTGGTGAAAAAGAAAAAAAAAAGTATTTTCCCCCCTCTCCTCCCTCTGATTTGGGTTGGGTTTTTTTTCTAGGATAACCCCCCACCACCTACCCAAAAAAAAAAAAAAAAAAGTATTTTCCCCCCTCTCCTCCCTCTGATTTGTTTTGGGTTTTTTTCTAGAAGGATAACCCCCCACCCCCTACCCAAAAAAAAAAAAAAATATATCCCTGGAGATTCTCAAGAATAATATGTGGCAATGTCACACACATATCAAATTGTAACTTATCTGCTTAAAAGAAGAAGAAATTTACACTGTTAGCTGTCAACAAAATTCCTTTATCCTCTGATAGCCGTCAGCAGTGGTGGTGGCATAAATACCTATCCTAACTCCTGTGTTCGTACAGGCTGAGGCTTTTAAGAGTTGGAACAGTGTCTCTATGGTTTGGGAAGCTACATGTTACCTCAGATCATTGTGCTTCTAGACATGCTTGTAAATGAAAGTTAAATTAATGTTGTAAAATGACAAATATGCCTTTTGTGCTGTATGCTCACTTGCTTAAGTGATTTTTGCCTCTTGCTATTGCTGTGTAAGAGGAAAAAGTCAAACTATTGCAAATCATTGGTGCTAATAGTATAAACAATAGGAAAACATGTAATTTTCTTTGGGATCAGAAAGATAAAGACAAGAATAAACTTCTAATGAGCTTGGAAAATGTTAATTTTTTATCATACTGTTGGCAGAGTGTATGGACCAATGATTAATAGGTCATACTCCATGCTGTAGATATTAGAACTTGCTTGACTCAGTGCAGAACACTTACTGATTTTCAGAAAGAACTTAGAATGGAAAATATTCAAATTGTCCTGTTTATTTTAAAACAAGGTATTTCACATAAACTTATTTGTGGTTTATTTTATTTTTTCCCCACAAAATCTCTTGGCTATGCTTTTGCATTCTGGAGAATGATGATAGGTCCTATCAATTTTGTCACACTGCCAGAAAGGGCTTCCAGTGACATTTTTTGGGTGGTCATTGAGATCAAGTCTGTCTTCTTTTTTTTTTAACTATAGACATCATCTGAGGCTGGAGTCAAATTGTCTCTGTAACAACAGAGTAGCACAGTGCTCACAGAAGGGAAGAGCAGAAATAAACAGTTCCTGTATGTTCATCACAGAGCACTTCTGGAGTTTTGAGTGTGTGGGGGTTGCAGCTCTGCTCATCCCTGCCCATCCCAAAGCCCAGCCAAACTCTGATGTTGCTGTTCCAGCTGAGCTTCAGTGGGTTCTGACTCCAGTCCCCATCTGGGGAACCCCAAGATGTGTCTTGGGAGGCTGGGTCTGCACTCGTGTCTGCTGTAATGGGGCAGCACATTTGGGGTGCTGTGACTGAGCACAAACCCACCGTGCTCACCCCCAGCATCCCAAGGACTCCCTGCTCATAAGGACGGGCTTGATGCTCTTCAAGTGATGCAGTTTAAAGAAACAAGAGTACCCATGTAGAGCCCACTGATTGTGAAAAGGGGTATAGCAATAAAAAGTGTTTATTTGGGTTTATTTACTAATTGTGGGGTTTGCAGTGATAGTTCACCATCTCCTATGTGCTTCTTTCAAGGTTTCAGCAGGTTATGGGCAGATGACTTTGCTTGAATGACCACTTTGTATGGGTTTTGTTCTGTTTACATTACATGTCTGGTTGTATTTTCAGTTTGCAGAGTCTGTGAAGTGTTTGATGTATTTGTATAAACAATTTGATTTCTGAAAAGATGTTCTGAATTAAATGCCAATGCTGTACAACAATACACTAACAACATTCTGAGACCATTTAAAGCCCTTTGTTTAGTAACACAATGAATGTCATTAGATTGTTACAATAAGAATGTGAACATTAAAAACAGCTTGTAAAAATGAAGAGTTTTTGAAATCTAGAATTATGGGAGATATCAACTTGGAGCATCTGCTTCTGTCTTTAATTTTTGAGTGAAATGTTTTCCTGTTGATTCTTGACAAATGTGTTTCCCATCAAATTGGGCATTCAAGTTTTGGTTTTGACAGTCACACCTCAAAACCCAATTTTCAGTGCAAATTTTGAGATGGATGTTGAAAGCGTGAAATTAGAAGTTGCCGTTCTTTTTGTTTGCCTCTGAGTTGTGGTACTTAGGAGTCACGGGTGCATCTTGCAGCCACACTGACTGGAAACACTTCATTTCCACTAAAATAAAAGCGAGTCTTTTCATGGAATTGCATGTCATCAGAATAAAAATAAAAATAGAAACTTCTATAAGAGCATTAGATCTGCTAATATAAACTGTGTACATTTTCCCTCCACTTGCCTCTGTTCCCTGCCATTATTAGTACTGGCATTTAGTCTGTACTGGCCCTTGGCTGCTGGAGTAGTGCAGGTTTTACTGAGCTGCTCAGTATAAACAGCATCCTCCATCCTCGGAGCTGACCCTATGAAGGCACGAGAAGCAGAAATACAGGTGTAGCTCGGGAGCGCAGGGGAGCCTGCGCGGGAGCTGTCGCTCAGGCCACACTCGGACTTAACAAAGATGGAAGGTAGAGGGGCTGGGGAGGGCTGCGCTCGTGTTCTCTGGCTCCCCCTTTTCCTCTGTGCCAGTTATGCTTCCCTGGGTCCTGTCCCAAAGCTGTTCTGATTGTGTGACAAACTGTTGGCTTGTGGCTGGTGAAATATTTCCAGGTGTGCTGTCTACAAAGAGGAGTGCTCCAAAGCTCAGAGCGATAGAAATCTTCCATTGGGAAACCCTGACAATTGCAGGGATTTATGCACTATTTATATCTCTTTTTTCTTTGAAGCACTACAATGTTTGGTGTGTTTGTAAAATTTTCAAGATAATTTTAATTGTTGCATTGTATAGTTTTGAATGTGGTTCGTTATTTTCTTTTATCCCAATTGTTTCAAGATTGGCAACTGAGACAAACAGTGCCACTTAGAAGAAAATAATTACAAACGTTCTGTCTCCTTGAAAAACTGGTCTATACTTTGCATCTATATCTATGTATAAAGTTTTGCAGTCAATAGAAAATGATATCAGTTAATGTGGAGCATTTGATAATTTGAATTTTCTTGATGTATCAACTACTTATTTGTTGTTAATAGTGTTGAACCATGAATAATTTACTGGCTTTCACTTTATAATCTGCAGTGTCTGCTAACTTTGAAGTTCAGTAGTCAATTTAAAGTTTGCTGGAGCTGACTAATGATTCACCAGAGATTTTTGTGAGATATTTTGTCATCCATTTAAAGCCTGGAAAAGTCTGCTCTTGCAGCCATCTGGCAGTTCTTGGTTCTCTGGAGGAAAGAGAAGCCTTTTGATACAATAGATCAAAGCATTCTGCTCTTTCAGTGACTGATACCTATAAGTAACTTAGAAGTTTCTCAATGTTATTTCACAATGCCTGTCTTATTTGCCAAACTTTTGTATAGTAGCTACAATACAATATTGGCCATGAATTACATTTTAGTTGTATTTGAATCATTATTTAGGAATTTCTGTTTGCAGCTGATTTACAGATCCAATGTTTTATTAACCGAGAGGTTTGAAATTTACCAAATATTCTGTTATGATTAATAACACGGATGCTAAATCTGTTGCTCTTAGTGCTAGTGGTATAGGTAAGGGTACTCTCAGCAACTGTACTTGTGCTACACCATGAGCCTGACATAGGTGTACCTGTCAAGGAATTTCAGAAATAGCTGATGTGTCTTGGCATGTAGCCTGTCTCATCCTCACTGTAGATAGTCTTTAGTAACAGGTGAGCCTTATTACTTAACCGCTCAAAGAACGGGTGACAGATGTGGTAAGTTCCACATAGCCACTGAGCAGTCCTTCAGACTTGCTGTTCTTTACATTAGGTGCCTTGGAGAAAGGAGAAGACTTCTGCGATGCTGAATTTTTAAGTACTTAATAAATTTAAAGCACCAACTAGATAACTAATGTGGTACCAAATTTTCAGAAATAGAATGATGTGAATTTGGTGAAGGAATAGCTAATTTTTCGCACATTAAAATTTGCTTGAACTCAGATTTAAAAGCAGCATTTAGATAGCAGAAGAAAATTCCACATGCTTGTGCTTGTCATATAAACATTTCAGTGAGCTATCCAGGATAGGTCTGGTGCTCTTTTGTTAAGTCCATAAACAATGATAAATTCGTAATTCCATACTTCATAAACTTCCATGATTTAATGTTCTGCCTGCTGTAACTGAATCAGCTGCATGTGCTTACCTGATTGTTTATCTCCCTGTCTGCTCGACATGTGCTTCCTAGCAGCTACAGTTCAACATGTTTTTTCTTCTTTTTTTTTTTTTTTCCAGTGTGGGAACTTTGCTGTCTTGGTGGATGTTCATATTTTGCCTCAAGGCTCCATTAAAGACACCAGCTGGTTTTCAGATCATGAGAAAGAGGTACAACAAATATCAATTCTACTTCAAAAGTGTATGGCTGCAGGGAAGAAGTTGGTTTGCCTTAAACTGTTTGGGATTTTTTAGTGTTAGGAGAATATTGTTAGTTGTTAACCATCAGCAGTTGCCGTGGGACCCCTAAGTCAACCATATGTGCTTTTTGGGTCACCAATGACCACTTTAAATTTGCTTTTTAAACTCTGTGTGTGTTCACATTCATGCATGCATGTATGCTGTGTGGATTCTTCTGACTTAACTTTTAATTTAAAAATATGTTTCTCATGAATGCTTGCAAATTATCCTGCGTGATATAAACCAGATTGTGGCAGGGATGATTTTTTTGGTGGAATATCTTCCTATTCATTTTTTTCCCTCATTCTGAGAAGTGTAAATGACGTTGCATTTAGAGGGTGCAAGAAAACGTAAATATGCAAGATAAACTGTAGTAGAACTGTTGCCTCTTATGAAGAGAAACTTCCATTATTTTTAAGTGTGTCATGTGTATATCCTGATGGAATAGTGGAAAATCAGCGAGCAGCAAAATTGTGCTGTGACTTTGATCAGACTAGAGAGACGGCAGAGGATCTTGTGCTGTGTGCTGGCGGAGCTTTCCCGTGTGTGGGAACGGGAGAAGTTCCCTGTTGAAAAGGAAGGCAGGACGTGTTTGGGATGCCTGCGGACTTTCCCGCAAGTCTCCCTTACGGTCATTTTCAGCAGATAGCTTCCCTAATAATGCCATCATTAACCTGTCACTGCACAGCGTCCCCAGACATCTCACACTCATACATTTCAATGGCATTAAAGGAACAATGCATTAATATCCCGGGGGAGCAAAAGCAGAGTATTTAGCAGCATGTGGTTCATCTGATTTGTGCTTTATTAAGCAGAGAAATAAGAAAATAGGGAAAATCTTTCAGATGTATTTTTAATGACTAAATGAATGCTCCTTATCTTTTCTATTTATAACCAGTTTTACTCTCCTGGTTATCTGAGTTTTAAACATTTTCAAAATGTATTTTGTAAGACTGCCAAAACAAAAGAGATGAATTTCAGGAAATTAACTCATGATTGATTTAATAAAGAGGCATGACAGGACAGCATTCGGTGCATTTCTGTGACTGCATGTTTCAAGAGAAGTACAAAGGTTGCATATTTTCAGCAACTGAGAAGTGTGAGTCAAATAGCTTTGCAATTCACTTCCTGAAAGTCCTGTGCAGAATCTTTGTGTGAGAGGAGAAAAGGTCCTAAAGAAGGATTATTCCAACATCTTTTATGAGAGCTTTTACATGTTCATTGCAAGTGGTTTTCTGAATTTTTGTTGTTTCCAAACTCTGAAAAATGCTGGTGGTGGTGCAGCCCTCTGTGCCTGCCTGTGGGAAATGTGGATGCCTCTGTAACAAACAGAGTTCCTGCTGCTCCCCTGCTTGCCCTGGCTGCGAGTCATGGGCCTGAGCACAGGGATCCTGGCGATGCTGTCCCGCAGCCCTCTGGCTGCTGCCTCCGTGGAGGGCAGGCTGGGCAGCACCAGTGCCCAGAGCATGGCCCTGGTGTGAGGAGATGCAGCTGGGTGCTGGAGTGGCCATCATGGCACGCTGCTGTGGCCAGCTGCCTGTGGAGGATTCTTGGGATTGCTGTGGCATGCTGCAGTTTTCCCCTCTTTCTGCCCTTCCAATTTCCTTGCCCTTTCTTTCATACCCCTTTTCTTGTGGAATGGCAACGTCAAAGTTTTATCTGTGCTCTCTGAGGTCTGTATGGTTCTCTGTGGGGAGCCATTTAAATAACATTTCCATAAGGCTAACAAGTGAAATATGTTCCATGTAAATGAAGGAAGTGCAAGGTAATGTTTATTGCTGTGGAAGGAACCAAAGACACACCATGTGTCTGCTGCTTTCGAGACCTTCTCATTCTAACCCCAGCACAGGCCCATGAAGGAATGTGTAATGGGAGCGCTTTAATGAGTTAAACAGAAGGACAAGCAAATACAGAAACTTATAATTGTGCTCTACAAGCAGAAAGGAAAATGGATTTCTTACTGTACAGAGAAAATACTGGTTGTGATTGACTAATGTATATGCCCTGCTTTCATTTAGAGCAATGCATTAAAAAAATTACTGTTCTGAGTACTTTCTACATTAATCAAAAGGAAATTTCAAGGCAAGATAGTTTAGATACTACTTATATAATTTTATCTATTACCCTAACACATTACAGAGGTAAAATTATGTTTTTTGTGCACCACAAGGTATCATTGCTGTAATCACATAGTTATGATCAGTGGAAAATGAGAATGCTGAGGGAAAAGTCTCAAGTATGTGTGTGTGTATTAAGCTTAAAACTTATTCTGGTATTCAAGAGATGATTTTTTGGTTTTTACTCCAAGTATTTTTTTTCTGGGTAATTCTGGCAGAAGGTTTTGTTCTTCCTGCGTTGTATGTGGTTTTATTGTGCTTTGTTGAAGAAAGTATGAAAGATATGAACAGTTATGTTTGGGGGCAGAAAAATCTAAGTTGATTAGAGCAGTTGAGTTTCTGTGACCTAATTTGCTCAGTCTTACCCAGTCCCCCTGTCCCCCCCAAATTACTCAGAATTGGAGCAAAATATCTGTTGTGGTTTATAAGGATTCTTACAAAGAAATAGTGTGTTGACAATTCCTGAGAGGATTTTTACTAAAATTTTGCTTAAATACCTAATGTTGTGATACATTAAGATTTTTTTTCCTACTTTGCATGCATATGAAACTAATTTCTGATTTTAAAAAGTTAGTATTGTGACATAATGTATTTGATCTGCCAAGTAAGAATTTCATAATATACTTCCTCTTTTGTTCTTTAGAAAAATTGTTTGATTCCCCTCCTTGTTCCTATCCATTTCCTAATTCATGTGCTTTTCCTCTCAATGTTTTTCCGTTTAATGGGAGAGGAGTAATTTTGTATTGGTTTCTGCTGTGTGCCTGTGGGCATTTCTGTAAATTTAGATCAAACCAGAGCAGTGGTTTCTCTTTCAGGAGGTCTGCAAGCTGCTGGAAGAAGTTGTTGCTTCAAGGGTCAGACACTACTTGGAGGCACCTAAACAGCGTGGTCAGTGGAAGCCCATGGAACAGGGATCATCTGGGCCTTTGTTTCTTACCGGTAAAAGAAATTATTTCACTTAGTGTGCAAGAAAGTGCCGTGGAAAATACTGTTCTTTATTTTCTCTGTGAGAAATTTGCCATCAGCAAGGCCTGAAATAGTTGATGTTTTGGTCTGGAATTACTTCAGCTGTGTTAGTGAAAAAATTAATTGATTTTAATGTTCTGTGTTGCTTAAAAGTGAACATAATGCTGTACTATTAGTCTGAGAGCCTATCATTAGAACTAAAAAAAAATACTTATACAACCCTTGGTCCAGCAAAATTGGTTGAAATCTTGCTGGTTACTTAAATATCTTTTCCACTCACCCATTTAGTGTAGAATTTTTAAGTACAGAAGGAATATCTTCTCCTTTTACTTTTGGCAATCTGTTCAGTCTTAAAAAGTTGGTGTGATGTGATAAATGACATTTATCATTTCACCAGTGCAATTGCAGGCCTGGCAGCAGAACCCATGACCTTGGGAGTGCAGAGATTAGGAGCCTTCACCCTTTTGGAACTCATTTTTTGTGTGTGTGAGGGTGTTGAGGCCAGCAGGTGCCATTTGAGTACCTCCACACTTTAAACTAGAGATCCTGACCAGTGTAGCTTGGGCCTTTCTGCTAGATCAGCTTTGGGGCTCAATGGCTGCCAGTTTTTGTTTAATATCATTTCACTGTTAGCATAATGCTGGGGTTTACAATTGATAGGTTTATCTGTTGGTCTTATGTCATACCAGCAATTTATCTTTAAATAGCTCTTAGGCAAAAAATTCTGGTGTTTGTTACTAGCCTGGAGCAGGTTATAAACTTGTCTCAGAAAAGAGGGGCTGCAGTAGTACAGCTCTGTGCTGGCCATGCTTTGTCACACTTCCTTAAATACAGGAGAGATCTCTGCTGGAGCATGGCTTCTGCAATGCATGTGAGTACATACTTACATTGGATCATCTCTGTGCTCGTAAATTTTACAATTCAATGTGTATGACATGAACAGTTTCAATTGGAACAAGTTCTTTGCCTCTTAAAATGCTTTCCATTGTTGAAAAAGGTGTATTCCTATAGAATGCTGGTGGGTGGTTACAGCTTTACATGCTATTGTCAATAATAATGATAAAACACAGGTTACATACTGTGTGGTCGGCTTCATCTTGCAAAATTTTAGGCCCCATGGGGGTCAGGTTCTTCTGGCATGACATGGGCTTTTTGCCACCTCTCAAGAAAACAATACCACATAAGCAAGAGGTGCTTCAGGCCACTAAAGGATTTCCAAACCCTTTTCTTCCTTGCAAGTTGTAACTACATTTTATCCCTTTAAAATATTATTGTTTGTGAAGCACGTGGACTTTCAGACCCCTGTACTTTTCTAATTGTGAGTGATAGTGGGATCAGAATTTCTAAGATCTGTTGAAGTTTTTCTGTGTTTTCTTTTATGAAGAGATGTTTTTTATTATTTATTTTTAAAGTTTCCTGCCTTAATAAAAAGTAGGTTTTGAAAAAAATATGATTTTATAAGGTAAAACTGCCAGACATAATAGTTGTTTTTATATAAGTGGGTAGATACAGCACTAATTTAAATGTGTTTGTTAGAATTTAGGGTCTTCTTTTTTCTTTCATATCATGAGCTTTTCAGTAAAAATACTGGTGTGTTGTCCCAGGGGTGGGAGCTGATCTTCTGCTTGACTCTTCCCCTTGTTTCCTGAAAATTAAAAACTTAGGGATATGCATTTGAGGAGATCATCAGTAATATCAGTGACAGTGTTGGATTAAAGGATATTTACTTTGGATGAGGCAGAATGACTGTTCCATCAGTTTTCTGCAGTTAATCTCACCGTCATTAATTAACAATAAAGAACTAAAGGAAGAAAACAGGCTGTGATAACGAACATTCATGTTCAGCTTCACTTCCAAAGCCAACTCTTTCTTTTTCTCTCAGCCTGCTTTGCTCAAGGCTGTAATTTGTGAGAAAGGAGTGCTTTGTTCAAGCCCAAGAATCAAGTTTCTTCAAGTTCCCTTGGAGTCTGTTCTTACCTGGGAAGGAAATAACAGAATAGGTGTGTGTTCACTGGGGCAACAGGCCCTGCCTCTAGGGACTGACCCTTCCAGGTGAGCCCCAGGGCCAGGGGGCCGCAGCAGCTGCCTCTGGTGCTGTGCCCCTCTCCGGGATCTGCGGCTGTTTGTGGGCTGCAGGGGGTGGCTTTGTGATGAAGTGCCACACTGCAGGCCAGTGCTTGGCTGGCAGGCCTTGTACCACACCAAGGAACGCAGGAGCCCGGTGTGCTCCAGGAGCTGCTGCTGGGAACAGGCTTCAGCTGCAGCTCCTGTTGCCTTTGGAGCTTAGGAGGAGTTTCTGAGTTCTTCAAGCTCCGTGTGCTTTCTTCTGCTCCAAGTTATCCAAGTCTGCGTGGAGTTGCACTGCTGTGCACCCCCTGCTCTTGCAAGGAGGTGTGCCCCTACAGAGGGATCCTTCACAGGACTTGAACTGCTTAATTACTCTGTCCCGTGTCCCAGGTCAGCAGTCAACCCCGGGCTGTAGTTGCATCTTTTCAAGTCAATTTTAGCTAGTTTGCTGTACACATTGCAGGATGTATTCAACATTTCTTGAAAAGAATTATTAAACCAGTATTAATAAGAATTTAGACTACCATTAATGTTAAGGCATGCTGTATTAGGTTTCATTTCAGAACTAGAAGCCAAGGTACCTTAAGACTTGTTAAGTCTTCTGCTTCCTTACTACTTACAACAATTTGAAGAGAAAATTTTCACCTATCACAGCTTCTTTTTAGTACTAACATTATATTATGTTTAATACTAATACTGACACCACCTTTCATTTTTTGTGACACTTAATGTAAATATCCATGAAAGTTGCTTGTTAATTTACATTTCTTTTTCATTTGAGTTACACCCACACTGCAGTGTGTGGTGGGTCGCATACCAGCTCATTAGGAAATCTGTGGGTGTTACACACAGGAGAAGAAAGAAAGAAGGAAAGAATGGAAAAATGAGAGAAGGTAGCCAAGACAAGCAAGTTCTTCCTATTCTTCCTTCTGTCTGAACAATTTCCACACCCTTCCCAAATGGCCAGTATGAACAATTTGCCAAAGTAAGCTTTAATTTGGTCTTTGGACATAGGCTTTGGTATAAACTCTCTGTTCTTGTGTTTAATTAATGTTCAAATGTGTTTGACTTTGGTTTATTTTATTTTTTAAAGAGAAATTTAAAATGGGGTGGATTTTCAAAGGCTGAATTTTGGCTGCATCCAATCTGCATGGCCAAAATCAGGCAAGAAGGGCATCAGCCAGGTACGGCTTGCGATTGCATTATTTGAAGTTTCATGTTCCACAGAAAGTGTCTGGTTTTGATCAAGAGCAGTGAGAATTAAGAGGAGACTACAGAGGTCTGAGTAGAGGTATGAAATACAGGAGAAATGCCAAAGGGAGAACTGAAAACAATAAGGAAGGTAAGGTTTACATGGGCTCGGAGGAAACAATAAGGAGAAGTGAAAAAAAATGTGGCTGATAGAAATGTCAATGTTAGAAATGGAAGGAAGGAAGAAGGTATATTGTAAACTGACCTTCTTCCCCCTCTGGAGGGAGGAAGAAGTTAACTATGTTTTTCCTACAAGTGATTTTCAGACCTACTCTCATTCCTTCCCTAGCATCCTTGCTATTTTTCTTGGCTTGAGGGTGGGACATTTTTGCTCTGATTTCAGATCTTTTTATTGTACAGTCTCTTCTACAGTGAAAATAATTAGAGAGCATGCTGTCACATGGCACAGTGAGCTCCCAGCTTGATTTTATCTGCTTTCCCTGGGACTCTGTGTACTTTTTAAAATATATTTATAACTTTCTTCTCTCATGAAATGGGGCTCAATATGATCGTGTTTCCCGAGTCCATCTTTTCACCCAGTTGGTTTTTGTGAATGTGGCTGTACTTAATTTACAGGTAGAAGTCTCAGACTTGAAACTCTGACATTAACTTCTGACAGGCTTACTAAAATGAGAAACTGGAAGAGGTACAAGAGCTGTTATGAGTAGTTCAATCTAACAAAGATCTGGAGTCAAAGTTCATGTCTTATTTAGTATAAAGAAAAACACATAAGATGCAATTTCATAAGAAAATACATTTCTCTTGCTTATGAAACAATTTTCTTGGCTCCTGCAAGCACACAAAAAGTATACAATAAATCATGATGGTAAATATTCCAAACTCTTTTGGCCTTGCATTTTAATTTGAACATTATGATGTTTTTAAGGGAAACACCCTTTTCAGACTGCCCCAGTTTGCTTTAGGAGTGTTTGCTATTGCTGTAGGACATGAATTGTGGGAAATGCTTGTAGGGTATGTCCCACACTGTAATCCTGGAACAGCAAAACTGATTTATTCCCACCCTCCCAGCTGTTCACTCACGCTCCTCTGCTGTGAAAGTGTTTGGTTGGGTTTGAAGCAGAATCTTTTCACGGGCCTTGTTGAACAGCAGCTCTACAACACTTCGGTGGGTGCTGCCATAGGGGTCTGGGGAGGAGTCTGTCCTGTGAACTTTGAGCTTTGGAGTTGCCCATTGTAATATCTGTCTCTCAAAAGAATTACATTGCAGCTTCTCTGCAGTGGACTCATTTATGATTTGTGGCCAAGTCCTGCAGATCTGTGTGAACTTTAAACTTACATTCATCTGTCTGTGACAACAGAGCTCCCTGAAGTATGCACTAACTTATGCAATAACTTATGAAAAATGTTTTGATTAGTATCTTGTACTTAATATTTCCTGGTCTTGCTTTAGATTACTTCCCTCCCCCCACCTCTCCCTGTTTTTTATAGCCAGATAATGGGGAATAAGGGTATCTTTTTTTAACCAAAGCATTCTTTTAGAGATCAAGGTTATGTATCTGAACTCTTTTTTTTTGTCATTTTGTTCTTTTCTCAGGGTAATGGCCATTTGACAAGAACAAAAGAAATGTCTGTATTTACACACTCTTTGGGTGTTTTCTTTTTTTTGTGATTTTTTTTTCCTATCTTACCTTAGA